TCGATCGGCGAGCACCCACCACCACCGCGGTAATGACCGCGGTAAACCGCGAGTTTGATTTCCTACTCTTTCCCTTATACAGGTTAACCAATTGTGTGTCACGTAACAAATATATACACTTAGGTTAGCCAATTGTGTATCACATAACAAATATATACACTACATGTATATAAAACAAACATAATATGACTAATGTTGCCTGTGAATGATTGCATTTTGAACATTCATCAGCTCGTAGTACCGGTAGTAGGCAAATCAAAATGTGTGAGTCAGTAAGTCAGTATAATTAACTTTTCAACTATACACCTGTTTCTTAAGAATTAATCATCACATTATAATGAAACTAGGTACGTATGTGCCCTAAAACAATACACAGACCTAGTTAGTTTTGGGTTGAAGTCTATGTATAATAATTGCTTAATTTGCATAATTATTACCCAATTTTCTACCAATATCTCAAAAACCAATTAGTGCATTTCAATAAGGTTTTGCATATAAGTGCCTACGATCAATGCTAAAGACCTACTTAGTTTTGGATTGAAATTCAAGCATACTAATTGTCTAATTTACATAGTCATCACATTCCATTGATATTTGGTTCATAGATGCTCTGTGGTAATCCACAGACGTGATTAGTTTGATGTTAAAAACCAAGCATATTGATTATTTAATTATTATTAGCCAATTTCTGATACTCAAAAAATAAGATTTAAATTGAACTTGTGGTAGAAGTGCTATGGAATAAATTACATATATAGACTGCAAACCACAGATTCTAATTTTTTTTCTGTAAAACTTTAATAGTATGAATCACATGGTGCATCTCAAAAGCAGACAAATACTAGTTGCCAAGCTTCTTGCTTAAAAATCTTGCGTAACAAAAGATGACACATTTAAAACTGTATTAAACATAAATACATAACTTAAATTTTTTAATATGCCTCCAATATTCTCAGAACACAGAGGTTATTTCTAAGTTTCTTTGATCCAGCTTGCAGACCCTGCATGCCAACAATTTTTTGATGTAAGATACAAACACTGGACCAGAGAAAATGACTTTCTGGTCAACTTCTTTTCCTTTTTATTTATTTTAACTTTAAACTTAAAAAAAACTTTTTAACGTTATACACGATTACCAGTAATATGAAATAAAAAAAGATTGGGACTACATTGTAGCTATAATTTCTATTTTGATTTTGGGTAGGAGTGACAAATTTTATTGTTAATTGGGTTTATTTTCAGCTCTATTGTGTGTTTTAGAATGTTTTGTTTATTCCATTTTTGGTCTTACACAAACAGAGAACTGACTTCAGTAGATGCTCCCATATTTCCCATGCTATTGAGATGCACTGCCCAGAAGCTTCTTCTACTGGTTTTGTAGATATTTCCGGTGGAGATTATTCTTGTACTCTTCCACTGGCTGACAGTAGCTGTTATTGTTGCTATTTATATTCTGAAAGAAAATGTGAGCCTCTATACTTCAGGTATGTTTTGATTCATTGTACTGCAGCATTGTTGTGACTGTACAAAGGAAGTTATCTGTACAAATTTTATTTGCGGTCATTTTAAATGTCTGGAGGAAGTTAATGGGATTATTGGAACACTAATAAAGACTTTCCCATGAAACCTGCAAGTTACCCATACAAATCTTGTTTGCGTCCACTGTAATGAATGCAGTTCTAGAGCCATATTTCTGACAAGTTCTGACCGTTCATGTTCAAGCTTTATATATTTTCTAAACTTGATAACTCACAGGGACTATGTAATGCAATTACCCGGTTTATCAGAAGCAATGTCAATAAAATTACTGAACATAGAATTTGAGAGAAAACTAACGCCGATGGTATGTGAATTGTGACTAATGTCAGTATTTGATTTACTGGTGAGAAAGTTGAATTTTCAGGCTAGAATTGTGCACACATGTTGTGTTGTATATTGACAAAAATCATTTGTTTTTTTGTTTGTAGTTTATCAGCTCAGCCCTATAAATATGAAGGTGTAGAGTCATGTGGACAGATTCAGTTCACTTATAATAATCTACTGTGGGCATCAGTTGCTTTCAGTGTTGTTAGTTTCTTCGTTGGCGTCGTGTGTGCAGCCCTCGTCTGTGCTTTTAAGTCATTGGTAAGTGATATTTATGTAAATCTATGTAAAAAATTTGTCAAGCTCTGTTGTAATGTGTATCTGAGCATAGAATAGTTTGTACATGATGTTTATTGCACAGAATACATGGTACAAGGGCTTGTTTTGTGTAGGCTGCCGTGAATACATGGTACAAGGGCTTGTTTTGTGTAGGCTGCCGTGAATACATGGTACAAGGGCTTGTTTTGTGAAGGCTGCCATGAATACATGGTACAGGGCCTGTTTTGTGTGGGCTGCCATGAATAAATGGTACAAGGGCCTGTTTTGTGAAGGCTGCCATGAATTCATGGTAAAGAACCTGGTTTGTGAAGGTTACCTTTAATGCATGGTACAGGGCCTGTTTTATATAGACTACTATGAATACATGGTACAGGACCTGTTTTGTGTGGGCTGCCATGAATACATGGTACAAGGGCCTGTTTTGTGTAGGCTGCCATGAATTCATGGTAAAGAACCTGGTTTGTGAAGGTTACCTTGAATACATGGTAAAGAACCAGTTTGTGAAGGCTACCTTCAATGCATGGTACAGGGCCTGTTTTATATATGCTACTATGAATACATGGTACAGGGCCGGTTTTATATAGGCTACCGTGAATACATGGTACAGGGCCTGTTTTGTGTAAGCTACTATGAGTGCATATTATAGATCTGTTTTGCTTACACAAAAGAAGTATCTTCCTATTTGGAGAATATGTTGTTAAATCATCAAGTTTTAATTGCAGTCTTACATTCCTCACACAACTACTACTGTTTTGTGAAGGACAAATCTTGTTGAAAATATTAAAGCACACTAGTTTGTGAAATTCTAATCTAATTTTGTTACAGTGAACATCTCAGTGTGGGTTTTCTGTAAGCCAGGATGATACTTGCATTCACTTTCATAAATTTATAAAAAATGTAATTGTTCATAGCATGTTTTTCAACATTTGTCTCTACATAAATTTCAACTATTTTCTTGAATTTAATTTGTTTGCAGGATTCCCCATCTGATGTAGCTCTTAGTCAATACCCAGTCACTGATGAGAGGGTAAAATTAACCCATACACATACAAAATCTTGCTGTATTATTATATCTTGCAGTTCTCAAAGCTGTGGAATTTGTAGTACCGTTAAAATCTGATTACTAACTATGGTTTATATTACAGTAATGGAACTTCGAAAATTAGTTCAAAACTATAAAGTGATAGTGCTGTTTGTATCTAAATAATCTATCTATATAAATAATAAACAAATTCAGTGACAAAAATCATTGCCACTCATCTTAGAATCAAGTTGATTCAACATTTATTTTTGGCATGACTTATTTGCAATGCTAGGGTGCCCCAGGTCATTCTTTTCAAAACCATCATAGCTGACATAATGTCACTATCTTTTCTCTTTTCATTTTGACAAAATTTACTAATATACATGTAATAAAAGTATCAACTGGTTCAGTTTAACTCTTTGATTTAGCTGATTTAAATGAATTTTCTGGTACATGTTGTGAACTTATTTTTTTCACAAACAGCACTGTTAGTTGGAACTCTCAACTAAATATGTGGTTAGTAATAGGATATGGTTGGTAATCTGAATTTAACAGTACTTAGCCACTTGTAGAATCTGACTGCTGAATTACTTGTAAAATCCTAATACAAAACCACCTATAGAATCAAAATATTTAAACCATGTGTGGAATGTCAATACTAAGCCACTTCTGAATGCTTAAACCACCTGTAGAATCTGAATGCTTGAACCACCTGTAGAATCTGAATGCTTAAACCACCTGTA